CTTGCAGGAGTACATGTTTCCGATCAATGATAACAGAAACTTTCGTCTTGTTTTTGGTAATTGAATCTATCGTAACTAATTGTTTACAGTTGTGTTTTGTTTGCTATTTTTCATTGGGTGCCAACTTTACTTTTCTAACCTTTACATATTAGTGGAACATCTATGATAGCGAGGTCAAATAACGGATCCGTGGTCAGAGTTTGTTTAAAGGTGATTACGTTCATCATTGTATATTGTAAAACTATTGTAATACTACTGTTTGACATTTTCCTGTTCGTGAGTAGGACGAGATATCAGAGGTATGATGGAATTGACTTGGTAATCCTGGATCAAGTAGGGTCATTTGAGGTCACATTTCTGGGGTCACACGGAGTCGTCCGGGGCTCGCAGGCCCGACTGCCGGGTCACCCTGTTTTGAGAGACGAGTAGAAGAGTAGCTGAATCCACAGGTTAAACCACTATGAGCGTTGCTGTAGCAACAAAGTCAAGAGTCACATGATGTCAGTCATCTTGATATACGATCAAACGGAGATGAGGAACCGTCTGATACAGGAAGCGTCGTGTTGTCATGACGACGCTCAGTTGTCTCGGTATTTAGGGATTCTGTGTAACGTGACTTTGACGGATGAGGAGAAGGAGATAAAAATAGAATTCTTCACAGGGACAGTTCGGTAGGTTAAAGATAACATATGTCACCTGACCCTAAATACCCGATGAGGGCGTCCGGAGTCAACACTGACCACGTCTCATCATATAAAAAAGAACGCTCTTGTTTTACCGTGAAAACATTGCAGAATATGGTGTAGTATCTGGATTTCCTTTGAATATCACTAACATCTAAACATTTATTTAAAAAAAACACAAACATACGCACACAAAAAACCCATAAAATTTCGTACAGTGGATTTCTGATTTTTGCGTTTTGAACTATAAATATTGAAGTCAATACAATCAGTGATAATGGCCAATATCTATCTCATGATATGTAAAGCTGTTAGTATAACCCCGGCTATGTTTCCTCTCGCAGGCTACTGCAGTTGTCCTACGTCTTGACCGCATTAATGCGTAAGAAATTTCAGCAATGCATGAGTTTGTACTACATACATTGTACACTTACTATTATATACTTCCAGTTCTTGGGTAAAGAAATGGTGTATTATTACTAACCTTAGGTTCAATGCTGCGAGGAATAGTAATAGCGCTATCTACCCCGGTTCTAAGGTACGGCGAACTGAAGTATCAAATTTACCTTAATATTAAGTGCGCGGGGAGATGCGCTTTTATTTACTTTATATTCTATAGTACAGGAATATGCACTGCTAGTTACTTCATGTTATAGAGTACAGGAACGTGGACTGTTTTACTGAAAGTCCAACCTTTGTCCCAGGGGAAAACTCCACTTACACCTAAGAAGCGTAAGTGCGATTCTCGCTGGCACCGAGGATGTTCATAGTCTAGAGAACGGAAATGGGCGCTGTTGCTTCCCTTTGATGGTGCGAGGAAGTGCAACTTAGTATTTACTTTGGGTACAAGAGTACGGTAAAATGCAACATTCAACTGGTACGGCATGTAACAGATGCACGTTTATCCATTTCCCACAGGAGTTACACTGTTTATCAAGGGAGATCATTTCAATACTAATATATGTTGACCCGAGCCATAAATCCCGTCCTAAGTGGACACCAAAGCTCGTGCTGATGACCGTAATGATGGTATAGGGTAACTACGGGGAACAGATGGTCATCTATAGTATTCCAGCCATTCTCATCGGGGTATCTCGTCACACGTGACCGTACAACGCCGTGGTCAGTTCTAGGCTTCAACAATGACCAGTACTTAACGCCTCGCGCCCCTGGTGTTACAAGTTAAGTGACAACGGTAAAAACCTGCATTATTCAAACGACGTCACATCAAAAGCAGGTTTCCTCGATGATTAGTTATTTCTGAATTGATACATTTAAATTTAGATGAAGCAATTGTCCAGTAGGCTCGCCATATGTTGAACGTTTTACCGTTGCTTCCTTTGTACCAGTGTGTCTGACCATCACCCCGACAAAGACTCACGGACAGGTAACGGTCGCTGGGGTCGCCTTTCATCTCGCCGATTAATTCAAGCTACTGTTTCCATAACTGATGATAAAACGCTTCTGTCGGTGATAGCGTCCGAATTATTAGGCTCCGTATGGAAAGGACATTACAGCCGAGATGAGAAAGACGAAGACAGCGATTTGTCATCAAATAAAAGCGTTTAATTCATTTATTTAAATGTTTTACATTGTCGACGAAATTGCACGAATTTGATACTGTTTACCAATTTGATCCCTCCGAGTATCCGATAACATGAAGGTGAGGTTTTCACAGCTGATCGTATTCGAACGAGGTGTTTAATGTTACACCGACGATCGTAAATGATGACTTTCGTCCGTTAAATTGAATCTCGTCTGTCAGAAGAGTCTCGCCTATTAAGTGAATCCCGGCTGTACCTGTGATATGATAGGGATATTAACATATAATTAATTCCCACAACAGATGATGTTCCTGGGTCAATCACCGTCGAGATCAAAGGTCAAACAGTTTATATCCCGGTAACGTTGTTACAACTAATCCTGAGCTACTCAGCTTCCTGATTTATTATCTGTTTGAGAAACATTGTGATTATCATTCACAACCCATGAAATACAAGTTATGTTTTTAAAGTCCCTGTGATTTGAGCCGTAGGTTTTGAGCTTTCTTTTTGAGCGCCTCTGATTCATGCTTTTTTCGAGTCGCTGTGATTCGAGCTTTATCCGAGCCCCTGTTATTCAAGTTTTTTCATTTCAAGCCCCTCTTGTTTTAACTTTATTTCGAACCCTATGATTTGAACTCTATACGAACCCCTGTAGTTCCAATTTTTTTATTGCGAGCTTTATTTTGAGCTAAGGTGATTCGATGATTCTAGCCTTATTTTGAGCCTATGTGATTCGAGCTTTATTTGAGAGTCTTAGTAAAGAAACAAGCTTCATCTCGAGCCCCCTTGATAACAATTCTTTATATACTGATTAACAATTCCTAAATGGGCCAGCGTGTGTCTTTTGAGGTCACAGGAATGAGTATTTATACTGAAGGCTCGGTTTCAAGCTGAAAGATTATATAGTATTGACCAGCACGAAAGTCCGCCGGTATTGATTTTATCCGGATTGATGGAGGCAAACTTTCTTTTTTAGTTGTGCGTCTCTCAATGGATAACTTATCATAATTCGCGAAATGTATTACATTTGAACGAAACACAATTATTATGTTTATATCAAACTTAAAGCTATCCGTGAGATACAGCCTACACAGCGGTATAAAATCTTTACGGTGTCACTGAGGTCAAATCATCCTTCGTGTCTTTGTAGACTGGGTCGTTTTAAAAGACTAGTCGCTGGCAAAAAATATCTTTTTATCACAGGACCTTTTTTTTTTATATAAATACAGTCATCGAATATATCAATTTCTTATCAAAACATTGGGCCTTTTTACACGGTAAGACTTCCCCCGGCTTTTTCTCGATAGAGCATTAATCTTTAAAACGACAACGAGTTTTTTGAAAGACGGAATAAAATCGAACTCAGCTGGACGTTTTAATAACATGGCATTATAGCCGTTGTCATACCGAGGCTTATCAAAAGCTCTTGGTGGGAGTTCTCAATACAGAAACGAAAATGGAAACGGATTTTATATATTTTCAGATATGTGTACCGGAAGACAGTTATGGAACACAGCTATCTGACATTCCATCTCAATTTGAAGAATGATTTCTAGGTATGAATTTAGCGAAATATAATTGTGTTTTGGCTAATACGTTTTTGTTGACGTAGCGTTGCGCGGGATTGTGATCGTTCTTTGGATATGGAAGGTCAATAATAAAGTGCATGCATGCATTGTTATCGAATTTTTTTTCGGAATGCACAGATGATTTGTGAATCGGGTACGGAAACCTTGTATCTCGAGGATTTGTCCCTAGCCACCGGGGCTTAGCTTTTGTGGTATATAACACTCTGAAAAACAATACAAAACAAGTAGCTTCGTGTCACAGCGTGCCTGAATGGTTTAAACACAACACATACACCGACGACATACATGGCGTCTCCCTCACGTAACTCCTTCTCGGAGCGTCTTTATTAAATCTCGGAAGTTCGATATTTTCCGGATAATACACGGCTGAAGGTAATCCTGATAAAGTTTACAGCTGTGTCTTTCTAACTTTCTGTTCTTTCTGTTTTTCTCTCCTACCCTCCCTCTCTTCACCTGTCTTTCTCTATCTCCCTCCTCCACCTCTCTCTGTCTCTCTTTAAGCCAATCAAGTATAATCAAAAATGTATATATTGCTCTTGTAATGGGGAAACAGTATTATTTGTTCCCTTCGATGAAAAGCATACTTCGATCAGGCCCTTTTCTCGTAAAACATAGTTCCTCTTAGGGAAACAAATAGTCATGTTTCCATACTGCGAGGGCAATGGAACTAAAAATTGCCTACGTTGTCGTTAAATGTAAATATTACATCCATGCATATAAAATCAACGATTAAATTTTCAAGTAGTTATAACGGGGGAAATCTCTAGGCATGACATATATGTCTTAACAGCTGTATTCATTTGCTTTTCGTGATGACAAAATGCCAGTAAGTATTATGTGTGTAGTGAACAGCAGGCAAATAACAAAGTTTGTTTGTCGACAGACAAGATAAAATCTATTTTGTCATTGTCGTTTGTCTCTGTAGATCAAGCACTTGTTATGATATAAAGAGTTCAAAGGTTATCATACCTGTCTTTCGAAAATACACGTTTGATAAAAACGTTAATGTAAATGTTTGAAACATTTTAAAATTTCAAACAAAACGGGCGGACGAAAAAAGGTTAATCCTTTCTTCATTTATTTTGAAAGCAACGCACTATACCTTGAGAGTGATATCATATACTTCATTCTTCAAAAAAAAGTTTAAAATGTTTTTAATTATATTTTCTTTATACTTTTTGCAGGGCAGGTAAATTCTCGACACTTAATGGGACACTTAGAATGAACGGAAAGGAATGTTCAGTCTTTGAAGGCGACATGAAGGGTCCAGAGTATGTTTACCTTTAAAATGATCTATGTTTTGTACGCGGTCTGCAGCTTAATAAAACATTTGGTTTTCACCTGTAAAACCGCATTGCACAGTGCGCAACAATCATTAGCGATTTTATTCTAAAAGGGCGCCAGAGAATCTCAGGTAAACAATGATGTAGTATTGACGGTTTTTTCTTAAACGCTGTTTTATTTTAACATCTGAAGATGAAGAACTTTATGTATTATGTGAAGATAACGGATAGAAAAGTCTATCTAAACTACAACTGTGCGTTATTTCTATACAGAAATCCAAAGGCGGTCCGTCATCTGTGGAGACCGTTGTCATATGACCGATCGGGAACCGTCGGCACTTTCCGTTAACGAGAAATTGATCGATTCCGGAGATACCGACGGAACTCTTCGAATTCATATTTTAATAACTATACGTTGGTGTCCCTAATCCTATACTTACCTCTTTTGCTGTAACCCATCTTTAACATCTTATATATGTATATAAAAAAAAGGTTTTAGGCTACTACGTGACACATTTGTATATATATTTTCTTTCACGGAAAGGACGTAAGTAAGTTGCAATAACTTTTGTCCTATTCATTTGTTGCAATAAAATTGATATTTAAACTAAAAACCGACGATTCCCGATTAGTCATATGACCAAAGCTGTTGAAGGAACATAACACCTAAAACTTTCGATTTGTTCAAGATTTAAGGTCCAAGATATAAGGTCCTAGTAATTAAGTTGTAAGAACTTGTGGCCAATCCCCGATTGTTTAATGTTCACGAAATGTGTTTGAATGAATTTAACGTCCTCGAAATAGGAAAGATCATATAAAGGCGGATGACACCGCCGAGATAAAAAAAAAAAAGGTTGAAAAAGAAATCAAATAAAAAATCAATAAATATGGGCTTCAGGTATAACAGATCTAGACACACCCCCGCAAAAAAATATAAAAGCGAATGCCATACATAAGTCGCCTCATACGAACATGCAATTGGATGCAGCAGGTATAGTATCTCCTTGCACCTGCACAAGTTTAAACCTTAAGCAAATGAACAACGAACATGACTGCATCTGTATAGTTTTTCATACCATATATCTTCAGTGACATGTTGATCTGTTTGCTTTAAAATGTAAAGCTAAACAAAACACATGGACTTTTCGTAAGCTGCTGATAGCCTGGAGCTTCCTCGAGAAAGCCATTCCGCGACATTCATTCACAAATTCCTCAAAGGGTTCATCAGTTGAAAAAAAAAAAACAATGTATCTCCTTTACAAAGAAATCGCTTATCGTATGTCTGCCTTCCGGTGTTCAGAAAAGGGCCGCCATATTGTAAAGTGCTGATGGCGTGCGCGATAAAGCAACAAACACTTCAATTCTCGCGCATTCATTGTGACGAGATTGCTTAAACAATGGCGATCGTTTACGGTAGATTTAAGCTGATAACGGGTGTGAAAAGACATGGGCAGCCATGTTGTTCTGTGTCCGGGGGATGTTCGCCAGATGTTTACTTCGTTATAAGTTAGACATTGTGTCACACATTCTTCTTATACAGACGTAACAAAAAATGTATACAGATACTAATCTCGGGCCGACAGATACAGATATAGCTCGGGCGAGACTTCCCCTTATCTCGCTTTCTGCCTAGATAGATAAGTGAATTGTTTCAAAAAGACAAAAATGGTAATTTCTTTTCACGTGTAATATTAGCTTCAGGGTTTTAGAAGTATTTGCATAATCGACATTTTTTTCTATCAAGAAAGAGTATCTGTTGCAGTTTATTTTTTCAAAAACCATCTTTAAATTTCACTGAACAATATAAAAGTTACAAAAAAGGTTACCGATACACCAAGAAAGGCAGAGCTGAATACTATCTTGTACTTTCCTGTAACTTTAAAAATCATAAATTATTGTTGGTTACGTACAACAGCGCCATCGTGTACTGTTGGGAAGAGGAATGGGTTTATACGTACCACATAGAAGACTAACAGACATATTGAAGGCGTATGGCGCACCACAAAAGTGTTGCCCCAACCAGACACTAGATCTGTGCATGTTAAAATCTCTGATATTCCAATAAGACTTATAATCTCTGTATTATGATATATTTTTGTATTTAATAGACAATTGGCTAATTGGTTCGGTCTACCCTATTAACCTTAACTTCAAATATTACATCTTCAATTGACATACCATATATGTTTGAAATGCATGTCTGTCTATATGGAAAGGGCGTGTATAGGCAATGCCTGTGCCCAATCCGATTGTTAATTGCATCAATTAAATAAATTTCATGGAAATGAAATGTTGATGGAATTATCAATCTTGAACGGTAGACAGCGAGCTAATAATTGATCATCTGGGCCCATTGCAGCACTTCAGATATTAACAGTTGATTTCCTTCAATACATATTTTTTTTAATTTTCAGCAGAGTTTATTTCTTTCGGGACCTGTAGTTAACCTCTTGTCAGAACAACGTGACATTTCAGTAAGATTGCACTTCACAGTGGCTGTCGAGTGTGGACTCGGTGTTCATGAGACCCGAACTGTTGCGATGAGACACAGCTCTTTATCTCTCTCTTCATGAGACCCGAACTGTTGCGATAGTGCAAAGCTCTTTACCTCTCCCTTCACCAGACCCGAACTGTTACGATGGTGCAAAGCTCCTTACCTCTCCCGTTACGAGACCCAAACTGTTACGATGGTGCAAAGCTCTTTACCTCTCCCTTCATGAGACCCGAACTGTTACGATGGTGCAAAGCTCCTTACCTCTCCCGTTACGAGACCCAAACTGTTACGATGGTGCAAAGCTCTTTACCTCTTTAGTTCACGTTATGGTAATACTAATGGACCCGCTCCCCCTAAACCCCATCCCTCACCCCCACCCCTCGCCCTCACTCTAATCGAGTTTTTTTCTGTATATTCGGCTAATGAAACATTGAAGAAATCATTCCTGATCTACCGAGTCCATTGCAACATTTGAGACTACTGATTTCTCCGTGCTATCCCCTTTTCCTTGGTTTTAACTTGTATATATACGTGTACAATACGTCTTCGTCTTAGGGACATCGTAATCGGAAAATGTGTTCATCCCAATTTATCCTCGATAGCATTTCCGTTGACATAGAAGCCATAGCCACCGGAAGTGTACATGTTTTACCGCTAGCGCCGCCTGGTGGCATAGGTAAGATTATTTTTTTTTGGAAAGGGGTATTGCTGACGTCAGAATCGTTTCATGTCCTTATCGTTGCCCCGTTCCAGATAACATTTGTATACACCAAATCTGAAGAGATTTGCCGTCAATCAAAAGGGTTCAAATTTGTATTTAATTTTTCGATACTGTTGAAAACTTGTGATTATCATCGAGTGAAACAGTTATACTCGATATCAAATACTTTGTAAACATATACGCAGACCGAGCTGAATAACGGACGTATTTATGTTTTATTAAACTGACAGATACCGTGAATGAAATAGCCATTTGTTACTATAACTGTTGATTTTTTTAACCGTAATTTTATTTAATTACCTTGGAATGAAAGAGCTACCTGCTTTAAAAACCTTTTCTTATCAGAACAGGTGCCCAATTAGTGAAAATTTAAACTGGGCCTGAGTTTAAACCTGCACGTTCACGGCCAATTTATAAGATTTATAGCGATATCGGAATTGGAACTGCTCTTATGTAAAGAACCCAGTCTGGACAAGATAACGCTGCACTGTATCTGAGGTCTAGAGAGATACTCTAGAAAAGGTCGTATTTAATAATTTTAGAAAACGCCTTTTTCAACCTGATTTATGTACATACATGTGGTTTGACAAATTACCCGATGTTAAGTGTTTACCTAAGAAACGATCAATATAAAGGTAAGTGCAATTTTCAGCATAATATACGTGCATAATGTCGATTTCGTTTATTCTAAAGTAAACAAACGTTAATTGAATTTGCATCTGGGTCTACTTCAGTGCTTAAAAGGGTAACATATGACCTTAAAACCATATTTTCATCAAAATGAGGCTGCCTTTTACGTGTGAAAAACCTGTAACTATGTAACTACATATTCACCTGAACTGAAGTCCATAATAAGACACTATTATTATCCAATGAAAAGAATCGCTATATCGCCGATGTAGTAAAATTTACCAGATTGGTACCAGAAAGCATTTCGAGGCAAAGACACAGTATATATATCTTCAGATTTTTATATTTGAAAGTTTCCCCTCGTAATCCTATAAAGGACCTATTTCTATGTTGGTGTCGACTGGTGCTGCGAGGACACGGTTTTTCCAACGCTTGGAACACATAGTCAATCCATAAGCACAAACAGAATGTTAACGGTGATGCCCTATCCGGGACCTTTTGTCTATACAGGTATTTTACACTGCAATGTTCAATTTATCGATTTTACTTGTTGATAAAAATTGTCTACATTTTATTCGATCAAAATCAAAGTCTCCGAAACATATAAATACGGGTCTATGTTTAAGATGAACGTTTTCAAAATGGCGGCAACGGGATAATATTGGGCTTCCTGCAAGACCGTTATGTTGTGTGGTTCTTGGAATTTGCTACAAGCCTACACAGAATAACTACAATCATACATGTCACAGCTACCCGTGGAGTAATACATAGGATAGCTACAATCATACATGTCACAGCTACCGGTGGAGTAATACATAGGTATACTTGTAGCTATATATCACCTAGCATACCCCAATTATACTAGATTTAATTGTAGAATTTCTAAGCGAAACATTTTATTTTCACAATAAACTTGCGATTGATCTTTAAGAATAATCTTTAAATCCACGTATTATGACAAATTGACTACGGATTATAGTTTCGTATGATCTAACGGGATATTTTGAAGCATGTGTTAGTCTATATTGGATTACCGAAAAGGCGATGTTTATAGATTTTTGTTTTAAAATATTAAGAATATGTTGATATAATCCATTTCACTCCAATACTGAATAAACCCACTAGCCTGTTGGTAATTTATCACACATGCTTTCAAGAATCGACGTTGAATTTAAACTCTAAATTACTAGAAGAAAAAACATCCTTA